AATTTTTTTTTAGAAGTTTTCAAATTTTGACCCGGCCGGGTTATGAAAACCAATTAATTAATTTTGCATGGCCTTATTATTATTATTATTATTATTATTATTATTATTATTATTATTATTATTATTATTATTATTATTATTATTATATTAATTATAAAATTAATTTTCAAACTAAGCCTGGCAGGATGATCCAGGTCTTCGAGCATCACTCCAACAAATTTTCTTGCAACTTTCTAAATTAGCCAACATTTATCAGAAACCATTGTCTTCTCCGGCACTTCTTCCTCCAAAGACCTTAGATTTAGACGGAACCATGCACAAAGCTCCTGTTTCCGTTAGTGATGAAGGTGGTATGGAGCTACCAGATTTAGGTGATGAATTTAATCTTGACGAAATAGAGACGGTAATATCTCTGGAAGAAGGCATTGCTGCACATAAAAAAAAGGATCATAAAACCGCCTGGGAATGTTTTGAAGCACATGCAGAGCTTGGTAATACCACTGCAAAATATTGGATGGGTTATTACTTGTGGGAAGGATGTTTGGATGGAAAGAAAGATCGCAAAAAAGCAAGTGAACTTTTTAAAGAAGCAGCTGATGATGGTATTTCTGATGCACAATTACGATATGCATTTTCCCTGGTGAATAACCCTCCAATAAGGTTCGATCGTGCTGTATTTCTTGAATATTTGAACAAAGCTGCCGCTAATAATAATCCTACTGCGCAATTTAATTTGGGTGATATGTATTTAAATGGTAAACTTAAAGTAGAAAAAAATCCAAAATTAGGTATAAAATACTTAAAATTGGCTGCACTCAATTATCAACCAAAGGCCATTGAAATCTTAAACAAGATGAATATTAACATCTATACTGATGGACAAGAGGAATAAATTATTTTTGTTAGTATTTTCTTTTTATTTATTTTACATATTAAATATTTACTAAATGATATATTTTATCCATTTCTGGTTTTTTTTTTTTTTTTTTTTTTTTTTTTTTTTTAAGATTAAAGGTTTTTAAATTTAAATTAGTAAAACTATAAAAAAAAAAAACAAATGAATATTATATTTTTAACATTTAGTGATAAGGGATCCATGTGAAATAAATATATACTATCTCCTTTTTGAACAAATTTCATATTAGACCCTCATAATTTTTGATAATTACAGCAAGATTTGCTATATTGCATGCATTTCATTTAATATATTTTATATTACTATACTATATCATAAATAAATCTTTAAAAAAATTTTCATTATTTCACAAACTACAGTATAAAGAAAAACATTATAGTGCAAAAGATATAATAAAAATATCGATGTTAACAAGCCAAGCTAATTTGAGGCATTTGTCTAATGCTATCTTTAATTGCATAAGCATTTAGAAAAATATTATACCATAATTAAAAATGAGCAATAAATTATACCGTTAAGGCAATTAACTCAATAATCTAAATGCCAATATAAAATAATTAATAAATTTGTTTAATTATAAATACTGTAAGTTTAATATATTACCAAGAGGAACTTCAACAGAACCGACAGGCTTATTTGGAAAATTTTAAACGAATAAATAAATAAATAAATAATATAGCATAATTTTAAAATAAATACTTTTAATTACGCTTGAAATTCTTTTAGTATTTATTATTTTGCTAGTGTACATAGAATCTGGATGTTTTGGTGATATAACTGGTAATTCTTTGATTATTTTATCAGCATCTAATAATTGCTTTTTAATTTCATTTGCATCTTCTGAATTTTCATCATCTATGATTTTATGCCATTCATAAAGTTCATCCCAAATGTTATCAGCAGTAGGCCGTTTTTGTGGGTCTGAATCCATGCATTGCTTAGCTAATTTAATATAGCATTCAGGAGTCCTAGGTGCAAATTCAGGTCGCAATCCTTTGCATATATCTAATGAAAGACTAAGATCAAATGGGCGGCCATCAAAAGGTCTTTGTCCAGTTGACATCTCTGAAATAATAACTCCGAAGCCATAAATATCTGCAGCTGATGTAAACTTCTGTCCCAATAAAATTTCTGGTGCAACATAAGGCAAGACTCTATAAATACCACCTTCTGAATCATTTTCATTTGTTTTTTTAGATATTCCTAGATCTGAGATGTAAGATCGCATAATTTTACTAACGACTTCACCTTCTACATCTTCATTTTGCAAAATATTGCCATTGTGAAAATCTGCATGAATATATCCTATTTCTTGAATGTAATTTAAATCCATGAAATATCTTTAAGTAGTTTAATTTAATTTTCCAGATAAGATCTCGAAATTCATTCTTAAAAACTTATGAAGGCTTCCATTATCGGCATATTGAAATACCATTAAGTATTCATTTGTTTCTGTGTTTTGAGTTAATCCATATATCTTAAGACTACTACCGTATAATCTACATTTCATATGATTGTCAAACTTTGTAAATTTATAAAAATGAATTAATTCAATATGTGTTTAATAAGTAGTACAATTATTTAACTCACCTCCTTCAAAAAATCATTAGGACCTTCCTTGGAACCAGATAAGGTCTTGAGTGCAACGGTGCTAGATGGTTCACGCGATCTTATATATTCATAAATATCATCTTCGTCATTTTTCTTAATTTTTTTAATATTTCGTATACCATCTAACCAGGTCGCAGAAAATACAGAGCTAAACCCTCCTTCGCCAATTTTTTTAATATTATTTAGTCAATTGAATGGAATCCATTCAATTGTACGTTGATAAAAAGTAGATCTAAGTTGAAGCCCTTTAATGCAATTATCAATATACTTGGATCACATTCTGACACCATGCATGCCACGTGTTATATTCATTACAATAAGTACATTTTCCATATTCTGATTTCTTTTTGTATATATTCTATTAGTTATCATGTACTCTTAAATAATTTTTATACTCACCAACTAATTAACACGGATAAAATAAATTAATAGTAAATATGGACTTGAATAGCTTATTTTAAATACTTTAATTAATAAATGTTCTTTATACTCACGGACTAAATTAAGGCGAATAAAATAGTAATATTTATAAACTTGAATAGCTTATTTTAAATACTTAGATTAATAAATGTTCTTAATACTCACCCACTAAATTAAGTAAATATTCATGAACATGAATAGTTTATTTTAAATACTTAGATTAATAAATGTTCTTAATACTCACTGTCGCGGGCTACGCAGTACCCATGTGGTGATCACGATTTAATTAAAAGTCTAAAGTAGTTGCATGAACAATGAGTAATCAAATATGTATTAGTAATAATATATAAGGCATCGATCCAAATAGGGGAAGTGCCTAACTTTTGTTCTCGTTATAACTTTGAGTTCTTTGAATTATTCTTAGTGAATAAACTGTTATCTGTGTGAATACATTATCGGTGGTAGTTTCTGGTACGATACTCCAGTCCGTATATTAGCCAAGTGAGTAAAGACTCATAGAAAAGATCAAGAAGTTCACGGAGTGTTGGTAAACACTGTGACACTCACCCATTAAGTTAACACGAATAAAATAAAATTAAATGGTAAATATCATGAACTTGAAAAGCTTATTTTAAATGCTTGCGTTAAAAATGTTCTTTATACTCACATATTAAATTAACGCGAATAAATAAATATTCATGAACTTAAATGCTTATTTAAACATTTTTGTTCTTTATACTCACTTGCTAAACTAGCGCGAATAAAATAAAATTATATAGTAAATATTCGTGAAATTGAATAGCCTATGTTAATACTTAGATTGAGAATGTTCTTTATACTCACACACTAAATTAATGCGAATAAAGAAAATTAAATACAGTCTAACCTCTCTATAGTCACCTTCTATATAAGCACATTTTCTTTATAAGTATTTTTTTAAAAACAAACTACATATTATTAAATATAATAAATTTGACTTCTATAACCGTCACACTTCTTTACAATCGCCTATTTTTGTATCTCAAGTGTGTGATTATAGAGAGGTTTGACTGTAGTAAATATTTATGAACTTAAATAGTTTATTTTGAATACTTAGATTAATAGATGATCCTTATACTCACCTTCTAAATTAACACAATAAGATAAAATTAAATAGTAAATAGTTATGAATTTGATCCTTTTCCACATAGTTACTACTCTGTAATACTTTGGGTTATTACTGCATTGATTACTTTTGGGTATTACTATATTAATTACTTTTGAGTACTACCATATTAATTACTTTTGGATACTACCACTAACCTAATAGTTTACTAGAAATTTTAGCAAGTATGTTTTTTTATTTAAACTTTACAAGTTTCTATATAATTTTATACTAACTTCTTGTATATATTATGCGTTTGTACAAAAAAATACTGAGCCTAACCTTAGTAAAATAAATAAAGCAATTAGACTCTTCTTTGGTTTAGCCAGTTTTGATTATGAGTCTGATTATAATAATCATATATATTTTTAATATTTGTCTAATAGTAAAGATAATATTGCTTTTCTAAATATCTATTATCCTGAAGAGATTTTTAATAAATATATTATTTGGGTAGCAGAAAAGAGATTCATAGTAGTCAATTACCTATTTAAAGTTTATAGGATTTCTGATTCTTATGAATATATTAATAGGAATTTGCCTCTTTATCTTGTTTTGGATATTAACACAAGATAGTATCCTAATTCTATGAATTCTAAAAAGCCAGAAAAAAAAAAGTTTTAATCTATTAAAGATAAAATTGCCTTGAGCAAAGAAGCTAGTTTAGTTATTACAAAATATAGATAGCTCAAGGTTGGTGATATTAAAAAGAAATTTGTTAACTTTTAAGCTTGGTTATTAGAAGCATGTTCTATTTGTAAAATCAAGTATAAAAAGGATTAGTTATATAGCTTTTTTTAAAGCAATATATATTTTATATTTAGGTATTATTGTCAAAAACAATATAAGCCAGACTATAAAGAATTGATATTTGAAGAAATATTAAATATAGTCAAGCTAAAAAATAGATCTATACAAAAAATTGTTGATAGAGTAGTCAATGCCATAACAAAACCATGATCTCTTGTAGAATTGTTAGAAAAAGTTATTAATGTTAAAAAGCTAAAAGATACTTCTAAATCATACTACATAGAAATGCTAACTATATAAAATTTCTAAATATTGCAAAAGAATTTAATATAAAGATAGATATTATCTACTATTTAGAAAAAATTGTTAGATTATATATCTACTTTATCAATGATAATAATAGATATTAACTATTCTTTTTATATAAAATTATACAACTTAAAGATTCAAATAAAAAAAAAACAAATTAATATCTATTCTCAGAATAAGGCAAAAAAATAGCTTAAAAAATATATAAAAGGCTTGCAATAAACTTTCTAAATATACTAACTTCAAAATTATACAACTCCTCCAACATATAAACTGGACTATTAGCCCAAGCTCTCATACACCTATATCTGTTACAATTCAAGAGAGATCAGTCTTTCTTAAATCTATTTTATATTCCCATCCTAAATACTCCACCTTTAAAAAACAACTATGCCATCATCATATCCTCTTTTTAGATCAACTTATCTCTACTAACAATTTCTATCTTCTTAAATGGCAACACATTTTACCACACCTCAATAAAATCTTTAAAGAGAAAATTCCTTTGTGGTTCAAATTTCTTGAAAACTCTATTATTACTTCTCCACATAGTCACTCTATTTCTGCATATCTTAACCTGTCTTCTACCAATTACTATAGCTATAATACTGGCTATTTTCACAAGCACTCCAAACCTTAGCTTATATTACTATATAATAATCAAATTATCATTGGCAAGGCCCAATGCCAATCTTCTAATTCTGAACATATACTTATAACTCACTAGCAATGCAATCTTACT